CCAAGAATGCTCGGGAGGTGAAGACAGAAGCAGCCAGTTAGTTCCCAACTATATTGAATTCTATTCTATAGTACAATATTAATGCAATAACAGGGATTTTCAATCCAGTGGCATGGGACGTGAAGGATGTGTGTTTTTGTTTTATTTTTATAGATTTCATATGCATAACTAGTGCTGATAACCTGGCGTCGTCCGAATATTTATTTACAGGGGGGAAATGTCCGAACCAAACATAATTTCCAATGTTGGATTTTGCACCTTACCAGAGGGAGCTCCCTTGTGGAGTACTATTGCATGGATTCCAGAGGATGGTAAAGGGCAGGAAGGCCTGGGAGAACGCTGTCCATGGGGTCGCGATGGGTCGGACATGACTTTGCAACTAACAACAACAAAACTCTCCAAGTTTACCAATAGAGGAGAATATTTGTAGCTCGGGGTTGAAGTGAAAGGTCCGTGCTACTCTTGAGCATGGTTGTTTTCTTGCAGACGTCTCATTGCCAAACTAGGTAACATCATCAGTGCTAGTAAGCAGTGCTATCCAAACTTAGTCTATTGTGAGAAAGTAAACGCTGGGATTGTTCCTAATCTGATTTAAGAGCGTTGTGTGAATCCAGGGTATGTGTATGTGTGTGTTTGTGTTACATTCTTGTGATTTACATGACTTGTACCTATAAGTAAGGTAAACTACCCCCACCCCCATTTGCTCTACTTTGGGGTGTTTTTTTCCAGATTATGATGCTGTGCTGACAGAGGCTGGGGATTACACCGCCAAGTACTTCAAACTTCGCAAGCTTTTTTCCAGCATGATAGGTAATTGCATGAACGAAGGAGCAGCGTCCCTGTCTTCTCTGGAGGCCAGTGTGGGCGAGAAGAGCCCAGATTGAAAACTGGCCCAACCCCGTGAGCGTGTGGGACCCCCAGCTGTTTCCGGTGTAGCTTCATCCCATTGATCAGCCAGGGGCTGCTTTCTGGAGAGGGGGGAAGGAGGAGAGGGGAGGTTTGTTCTGAGTCACCTTCCCCTTGGAAGGTGACTTCCGAGGCTGTAAGGAAGGGTGAGTCTTTGAATAACAACATGGCTGGACGTAAAGCAAATGTTGATTGGAAAGAGGAGAGGGGTGAGGTCAGAGGAGGAAGGGGAGGGAGGGAGGGAGGAAAGAATAGGGAGGAAGGAATAAGGAGGGAGGGAGAAATAGGAAGGAAGGAAGGAAAAGAAAGGAATGAGGGAGGGAGGGAGGAAGCCGCAGCGAGGCAGCACAGTCAGTCAAAACAAAAGCACATTCCAGCTGTATCTCTGTCAAGGCCGTCTCCAGGGTTACCCATAGTGGCCAGAGGGGAGTGATCTGTACAACCCGAGAAATTGCTTCGTTGGAGAATGTGACTGACACACCTTGGAGGCAGGGGAGGGAAACAGGGTCAAAGCCAGGACGTAAATTAAGTGGGGTCAGTGCTGGCTTCACTTGGAACGTGTCCAACATGAAGCTGCTAATAAATAACTGGATTATTTTTTTTTTACGTTTGGCTCGAGGCTCATGATTTAATTAGGGCATTGGTGACATAGGTCTTAGCAAGATAAATTGTGACATCGGTCTTAGCAAGATAGGTTGTGTTCGTAAGTCAAGGACTGACTAAGCTCTTCTCAAGCCAAAAGAAATTTGAGTCATTTCTCCCACCGATCCAATGCTTGAATTAAACCAGGTCCTTTCTCTTCCTCCTCCAAAGAGACTCCTCTCCCTCCGCCTCCGATAATTTCGCATAAAGCGTCCTACGGGGCCATCCTGATGCAGCAGTACATCTCACTGTGGGAACTATTGTCGGGAATGGAGGTAAGTCATCCTCCAGGGAGGAAGGTGTTCAAATTGGCCAGATGATGGGAATGGAAACAAACCCACCCATTAAAAGAACTCAGAAATAAATCTCAAGTGTTTGGATATCGCTGGTGCGAGATGGTGGGATAAGATGCACCCTTAAAATGGAATCGCCGTATTGATATGCAAATAGAACAGAGCGGCCCGTGGATCTTAAGTTGCTTGAAGAGTCATTTGCAAGGTTAAAGATGCATGTCTGAAGGAGTCCCCAATCCTCTCATTCAGGTCTGTTATTTCATCTCTCTTTTTGGAGCAAGCAGGAAAGCAATTCTGCATCTCTGAGAGATGATTTTGTGTGGCATTTTGGGGGTGAGGTGGGGTGGGACTTAGCCTGGTTGTCTAAATTCTGCAACATTCAACGTGCCACAAACCCTTTGCCTCTCAGCTGAAGGTTTCATAAGAAAAAAAAATATGTTGTCTTGATTTAGTTCATGCAAACAAGCATTTTGATGCTTTGCTTGGCGCCTGTAATGCTTGCCTATCCAAATCGATCACAGATTTCCAAGTGACAAGGGATTGTTAAATTATTTGAATCCCACCACTGAGATGATGTCACATCCCTCCCCCCCTGTTGAGAGAGAGCTGCTCAATTTTGTCATCGGTGGCCTCTTTGATAGACCTCCCAGTGGCCTCAACAGCTCAACTCAACTTTTTAGAAAGGATGCAAATGACTAGCTGCCTGCGAGGAATATAAATCCTTCCATTCTCCTCCATCCAGTCAGTGCTGAAGAAGCTTCTTGGATGAGAAGCGAAAGGTCGTCAAAAAACCAGAAAGTCCAGTTGCCACTTGGGGAAAAACAAAAACATCTTTGGCACAACCACGACCTGGATGATGGAGACTCTCCATATCCATTACCTTGGGAAACGTTTCATTACCCAAACTAGGTAACTTCATCAGTGCTAGAAGGGACTTGTATGGAAACAGAGAGCAAATTCCACTCCCTTCTAGCACTGATGATGTTACCTAGCTTGGGTAATGAAACGTCTACCAGAAAACAACTAAGTTAAAAAAAACAAAAAAACAAGGACCTTCAAAGCAAACTCTACACCTATTTTTCCTCTCTCCTTATTATCACCAAGGCGTTAGCTTATTATGGAAGCCGTTGAGGGAAAGGGGGGAGAAAAACCCACATTATTTCTTAGCAGTCGCTGTTAGCATCCCATTCTGCTTCCTTTTCTGCAGATTGTGAAGTCAGAATACCCCATTAACATGGAGAACCTGCCAATAAATAATGGCAATGGACAGGCGTATGGCTACACCCTCTACGAGACCGTCATCCTTGGTGGAGGGACCCTGAATTCACATGATTACATCCGGGANGAGTTCTAGTCCCGCCTTAGGCGTGAAAGCCGGCTGGGTGATTTTGTGCCAGTCCCTCTCTCTCTCTCAGCCCAACTCACCTCACGGGGTTGATGGTCATGGGGGGAAATGGGAAGAAGGAATGTGGGCAGAGTTATCCGAAAGAGAACCGCTCTTTTCTCTGAACTGGGTCCTCCCTTCTCTTCTTCTTCCTTCTCCAGATTGTCATATTTGAGGAGCGTCTTGGAGGCCGCATCATCCATTCCACGGACCTGGCATTCTTGGGGAGGGTTCAGTACGTGACCTGAGCTTTCTTCCCGGTTGCCCCACCCTCTACTGGTAGTCCTGGTTAAGGTTCTTAACTGACGGTGGGAGGTAAGAGAGTCTGGCTGCAGGCCTCCCTCCCTCCCGTTGTGAAAAACCGTGCCCCAAATCCTTATAATTTCTAGTTATGGGTTGAGTTTGGCCGAGGAAGGCCCGCCCGGTGAGGAGGTTTACTAAGACTACTTGAAAAAAAGAAAGATGCCCAGATAGTTAGGAACGTTCTCCTAAAAAAAAGGGAAACCCAAACTTTACCGCAAGTTCTCGTGACCTGTAGCACTGGACGCTAAGGACCTGTCGAAAAGGAACCGCCGTTCAAGATCCAATGAATTGAAACAGCCGATCGGCAGCGGTGGGACTTCCTTTAGGTCAGGGCTGGAAAAGGAACATTTTTCCACAGTCCACAGACCCTCAAAGCTGCCAGTCTCAGGCACCTGAGTTGGTCCTTTAGGCAGGCTGTGAAGGGATGTTATTTTTTAAACAGCTTTGCGTTCGTTTGTTCGTTCCCACCCAAATCTTAAGAGGAAGCAACGCTACGTTTCCAGGCGTATAAAAATGCCAGCCGTCGATGGCGACTTCCATGCAAAGCCAGCGGGAATTGCGTTTCGGTGACATGTTGATGGATTTTGGGGGTGGTTGGGTGGGAATTTGGCTTCTACACAGAGCGCCTGTAACATCTCAAGCCCCTCGCCACGCGCCCCTCGAAACTCCTCCCAGCTGGACCACAGGTTCTGGAGATCACCAATCACAAAGGGTGGGCGGGTGGCATCGGGATGTACCTTCGCACCAAGACTTTCACATATACTCACCTGCCGCTAAACTCTCACAGCGCCCCCTTGAGCCAGGAGGAAGCTCCAACCTAAGTGTAGAGAGACTCCCCCCCCCTCCTCCAGCCGAAAGCGGTGATGTTTCAGAAAAATAGAGACGCCCAGCAAAAGATCACACAACATCCCCCCCCCTCCCCGGGTTGCAATTTTGTGTAGCGCGCTTCAGCCGTTGTTCACCACAGGCGCCCCTCTCTCAGCAAAATGGGACTTGGCAACTCTCGATGTGTCCGCAGCCGTTTTAGCTTTCTGGACTGGATCTCCTAAAGGGGCATCCGAAGTCCCAATCCCCGAACACAGCTCCGCTTTCAGAGATAACCCTCGGATGATGACGGGTTGCGTCGAGACGTGACCTCGTCTCCTGCCTCCGAGGCAGGGTCTGAAGGATTGGAGATTCAACCTGGACGGATGCTTTGAGGAGGGCATTCCTGAATAATTAGTCAAAAGAGGAATTGGATCTGTTTTTTAAGAGGCAAGGCAACATGATTACATTCCCCTAGTGTGACCCCCTCCAGTGCTCCAGAGGTACAACCTATGGCAACCCAGATAGCCAGCGCATGATGGATCTTGTATCCCTAAACTGGTTGGGGAAAAGCCACTTTTAAGCCATAAACGTCCGATCTTTATATCCTGCTGTCTCTTCCTCCTTCCGTCCTTAACCGAGATCTCAGTTTCCCCGTTGGAGCCAAGTGTTGTAATAACCGTGGGCACAATCGGTGTCCATTGTCTTGCCACCTGCCGTTGTGGGTTGCAGGCCACCCATCCAAACACGCGACCGCATCCCCAAATAAATTTTGGCGCTTGGTTTTCCCGGCTTCCCCCTTTACAGGTGAAGGGATTGGAGACAGGAGTGCCCAACCTTGGCAACTTCAAGACTCGTGGACTTCAACTCCCAGAATTGGGGGATTCTGGGAGTTGAAGTCCACAGGTCTTAAGGTTGCCAAAATTGGGCATCCTTTCTCTAGCCATGGCTAGGCCCAAGTGACGTTTTGGTGTTTTCCGGCTGTTGGAGGCCATCTTTCATTCTGTTTATGAAACCACAGTTAAATTGAAAACGTAAGAAAAGTACAGCTATAAAAAACAGAAGGCAAAAGGGGGTGGGGGAAGCAGCACCCCTTCTACCTGTTCTAAGCTCTGCAATTCACCAGCACCCCGATGGCAAAGATTAGGATGCCTGTGGAACAGATCCACGCCTGCCTTCTTCTACCATGTGCTCCTTTGCAAAAAAAAAAAAAGGGGGGGAGGAAAATTGGGATGAATCATAGCAATTTTCTCCTTTTTTGGTCTGCGATTTGCTACCCGCCTGGCAGAGTTACACTTATAAAATGAAGAGAGAGAGACACACACACACAGACCAGCAGAAGGAATGGCGATCGGAAAGACGTGCTTCACTGAGAAGACCGAATTTCCTTTTGTTAAGAAAAGAAAGAAAGCATCATCTCTCGTTTCCTCTTTAATCAAAAGTTTGGGCAGGTGGTTTTGTTCGGAAAGCCCGTGGATTAAATTTCCGTAACGTTTTGATGTGAATTTAACTCAAAATGCTGTCCCGTCCCCCCCACCGACAGCGACCAAGGTTTTGAATTTTTTTTTTTTTCATAAAGTTGTATTAAGGCCTAGTTGGTTTGTTGGTTTGGGATTTTTTTCCCCCACCCACCCCTATGACTGGTTTGCTAGATATTTGTAATAAATGAAGAAAAAGAAAAGAAAAAGGAAATTTGTCTCTTATTATTTATTGGCACCACCGTCGCGTTCTCTTATCGCGAGAGGGCTGTGTCACGATTTGAGCCACACGGCCTTAAGCATCTTAAGTCACTCAGTTTAGAGATTAAAAAAATAAGCTTGAAGTAGCCTGCAGTGCTGCATTTAACCACTGCGCCACCTCGGCCCTCTCTTCCTTTTTTGCGCCGCTGAAGTTTTGACCATCATTCCAGAGCCGGATACAATCCAAAGATGGTTACCGCCATTCTTACCAGCAAGCTCATGTATGCCCCTCATTATGCAACAACCCCCCTCCCCCCAAATCTTTATATCCACGTAACTTCAGCATGTACCAGGAAAAATAGACCTTGTGAATAGGCCAGGGTGTGTAGTAGGACATCCTGTTCTGCTATCCCCCACACTCTTCTGTATCCTCTTTTCCATGCATCACTTTTGCCTTTCGCTCAGAATAAGCTGCAGGGGAGATCTCTTAAATTTCGAGCCCGCTTTTCGATTATAAACTGATTCAGTTTTAAATGCATCTTCCTGGGATGTAGGGGAATGAGGATTTCATTCATATATATATGTATGTATGTGTATGTATACATACATACATACATACATACATACATACATACANTTCTTTCTTTCTTTCTTTCTTTCTTTCTTTCTCCTTGCAGGGATATAGGCAGCTGCAAATCTTAGTCGAGAACTCCGGGAGAGTCAACTATGGACTTAATCTGAACAACCAGCGGAAAGGCAAGTCAGGCTCTTTTCTGTTCTCGTGACTTTAATTGTAATTAAAAGAAAGTTTTGCCTGGATTGTATGCTCCCTGCTTTAAAGCAACAACGTTGAAGTTCTGTATCCAGAAAGAGGTCCCAAAGGTGCTTTTTCAAGAGGCAACTGGTTTTTCTTTGAAGGCGTTTCGCTTCTTATCCAAGAAGCTGTGACTGGATGGTGGGGGAATGGAAGGATTTATACTCCTTGCAGGCAGCTGGTCAGTTTACATCCTTTTTAGAGAGTCGTTGAGGCCACTTGGAGGTTTATCTCTGTCCTCAGAGTCACCTGAGTGGTACAAATGGGTGTGGAACTGTTGAAAGGACTCATCGTAGGCTGGAGATAGATGATGTCGCATCCCTCCCCCTCTGTTGAGAGAGGGCTGTTCAACTTTGTCATAGATGGCTTCTTTGATAAACCTCCAGGTGGCCTCAACAACTCTCTAAAAGGATGCAAATGGCCAGCTGTCTGCAAGGAGTCTAAATCCTTCCATTCTCCTCCAGAGCTGAAGAAGCTTCTTGGATGAGAAGCGAAAGAAAAACCGGAAAGTTGCCTCTTGTAAAAGCCTAGAGAGGGCTGTATAAGCACTGAAGTGGTATATAACTCTTAAGTGCTATTGCTAATTGAGGGGCTGCCACAAAGTGGAGGGGCCCCCAAATTATTCTCCAAAGCCCCTGAGCGCAGGACAAGAAACAACGGATGGAAACCAATCAAGGAGAGAAGCAACATGGAATTAAAGGAGAAACTTCCTAACAGGGAGGACAATTAACCAGTGGAACAGCTTGCCACCGGCCATTGGGGGTGCCATTTCTGAGGGGCACCTGTCAGCTCCAGCGCGCATGCACGCTCTGGCCAACTGATTTCCGTCCCTGATTTTCGGCCATTTATCACCTTCCAGAAACTTCAGGGGAGGGGAGAAAAATGGCCCAATGGGCAACCCGGAAGTCCATCCCCGAACTTCCGGTTTGCGTGTTGGGCCGGTTTCCGCCCTCCCCAGGCTCCTAGAAAGCGGGTCGAAAAACAGACCTGCTGGGCCCACCAGAAGTCGGAAAACGGGCCATTTCCGGCCGCCTGGGGGGAAGGGGGGCTGTTTTCGCTCTCCCCAGGCTCCAAGGAAGTCGTGCGCGCATGCGCAGGGCAGTATGGTGGGGGTGATCCTGCACATATGCGCAGGGGACACGGCATGGTGGGGGGCATTAAATTATGGGGGTTGGCACTCACGCAATAGCGCCCAGGCATGCTTTTGGCCCTCGAGGCGAAAAAGTCTTGCCATCACTGGCATAGAGTCTCCTGCAGGGGGTTGGACTAGAAGACCTCCAAGGCCCCTTCCAGCTGTGCTCCGATTTAGAATTGGGCGGGGGACCCCCCCCCCAAATACGGAGGGTGGCGGTGGCGGCTGTCTCTCCTGGCAGCCGGCCAGGCCTCCTCTTTGAAAGGTGATTCATCAGCCTCGTCTCTGCTCTCGTTCTCTCTTGCAGGCTTAATTGGCGACATTGTTTTGAACAAAACCTCCTTGAGAAACTTCAAGATTTACAGCCTTGAAATGAAACCCAGCTTCATGGAAAGGTTTGCGTAGTTGAATCTCAGCAACAGCAGCCCCCTCCCCCACTCTCAACCCCCCCCCCTCTTTTTTTTTCCTGTTCTGTTGATTTGTTTCCCCTTTGTTTACTGGAATTGTGCTTGGCCCGGCTCCAAATCCTAGTTAGCAGCTCCACCTGCCAGCAATCTGGCATCTGGCAAAGAATTGGGGCCGGTCGCTCTCAAACCCGCAGAGCCGTGCAGCGGCCTTTCTCAGCCATGCCCATTTTTCAATCCGGTTTTCTCACTCCCATGCCAACCGGCACTGCCAGGACTGATAAAATGGTTTGGTAGATAAAGCTAGAATCCTCAGGCTAGGAAGCAGGAGACAGAGAGTTTTAGGTCCAGCCTAGGCATTAAAACCAGCTGGATGACTCAGTCATTAGGAGATGGTGAGTTCTAGTTCTTCCTTAGGGTGGGTGACTTTGGGCCAGTCACCAGGAGATGGTGAGTTCTAGCTCTTCTTTAGGTTGGGTTACTTTGGATCAATCACCAAGAGGTGGTGAGTTCTAGTTCCTCCTTAGGGTGGGTGACATTGGGTCAGCCACCAGGAGATTGTGATTTCTAGTTCCTCCTCCAAGAGCCCCACAGTCCTCCTTCCTTCCTTCCTTCCTTCCTTCCTTCCTTCCTTCCTTCCTTCCTTCCTTCCTTCCTTCCTT